AAAAAAAAAAAATCGGATTAGTTAGGGTGTTGTTGCAGCCATTATGCGATATTGATCGATGCAATTTGCGTATGCTGATAAAACATTTAAGAATGATAAGTGGTTTTCGCTCAGTGACATACACCATGAGTGTGTGTATGACATGAATATTTAAGTGTATTAAATTGGTAAATGATCGAAAGTTTGAATAACTCAGACAGGCGTTTTCATAAATAAGGCCAATAACAAAAAAAAAAATAATAATAATAATTAATCATGGAAAAAAATCTCGGCAAGCATTTGTAAGGTAATTGAAAGAGCTTTGCTCCAAACGATGAGTCCACAACTTTGCTGAAGGAGTGCTTCCTTTAAATTTTTTCCTCAGAAAACGACACTTCTCACACAAAAACCTAAAGTTAGATAATTCAGACCGCAAATGTCAAACTTAGCTCTGTGGGGTAAGAGTCTTATCCGGCGTTGAAGTCCCAGTGAACTCGTTGAAGAAGACTGATGAAGAGATGTGGTGATCTCCGAAAAACAGCTTTCACTTCTACCATTTTTAAATTTTTGTTGTTTTTTCACAATATTTTTCATTAGAAGCGACCGAAATAAATTTTTTTTTTTATTTTATATGGGGGAAAAAATACATAATATTTTTTCGTAGAAATATTAAAGAATTCTTCAAAATCAATGGGCCTTATGAATAAAAAATAAGGCACCTCTAGGGAAAACTATGTTTTCTAAAAAGTGAATCACTTTCCTTCCTTCCGAGTCCTGCAATCTAGCGTTTTAAAAAGAAATATTCTCTGTCTGTTTGACGTATTCAACTATATTTACGTTACTTTGGCCAACCTTTCCTATCATTTGTATGCCCCTTCAGAAAAGGGAGGCTATACGACAAGTTACCCACACCACAAATTGCGTTGAAATGTGAATAAAATTGGTAACTAATTTCCTGAAAAACTATTTGACTATACGTTCCAAATGTACCTAAAATGCTGTGTTTGTACCGGATGTACTTTCAAACTAAATAAAAGTTAGATTGTACCAAATTTTCACCAAAAAAGAAAATGAATATTTAAGCTGCAGTGGAAATCTATGAAAGTCTGTAATTACCGTAAAGGATCCCAAATAGCTCAAGGTGGCCGGTTATGTCAAGTCATAGCAGAACGTCTCAAACTGATTTCTGTTCCAAAAATCCTTCAACGACAGTGAGATCGCCAAAAAATGCATACAATTTAGTATATGGGGCGTTCCATACCAAAATGGACGGGGTTCACACTTCATGTGTTTGATTTGTTTCAAAGTTTTAGGGTTGATGAATCAACATGCATAAATAATAAAATAATATGAAATTTGTGCTTGATTAATACATTTTTAAAAACTTCACAGCACAAAAACAAAAACAAATCGATTTAATAGTTTTCCAAATATCTCGAGATCGGGGCGAGGAGAAAATTAAAAAAAAAAATAACAGATACACCCATCAAAATTGTCTAGGAAAATAAATATTTTTAAATTTTTTTTTTCTTGAAAAATTTTTCACTTAAAAATTTGTTTATATAAAAAACTAGTTTTTGAAAATATGCTATCTAAAAAAAATTACAATGAGTATTGCGCAATATTTAAGTATAGCATTATGGGGTGCACTCTACAATAATTTGAGTTATGAATTTTTTTACACCGAAGTTGAGTAAAATGCGTACATTACAAATACACAAATTTTTATATTTTTTTTTTTTTTTTTTTTTTTAGTATGCAGTTTTGCAGCCCATTAAATTTTAGTGCAAGTTTTAAGCTACTGCAAAATTGCGTTATTTTTAATATTTTTTATGCTCAAGGCTTTTGCACTTTTTTCTTATGGAAGAAAACGCGTAAAACCATTTTCAAAGAAAATTCACAAAAAAATTAACGCCAGTTTTGCGATTGCTTATACTTTTTCTAGAGTAGAATGATGAAAACGAGCCTACGATCTTTAGCACCAATATTCTCTCCGAGAAACCAGGATAACCGCTTTTAATATCGATGAAAATTTAGAAAAATCAAGGCGGGCCATTTGCCAAAGTCATGAGGATCAAAGTTATCTCAAATCCATCAAAATGAACAAAGGCTTAACCAACAATTCAATGGCAGTAAGACTCTGCAGCTTTGACAAACGCACCGCTTGCAAGCAAAGCTGCAGCAAAACGAGTCCAAAAAAAAATAAATTAAAATAAATTGACAAGTCCGGTTGACTGTCTCTTCATAAGCCGTCCTCAGCTGATAGATAGGCTATCGCAAATTTGTTTATAGAAAAATGCCGCTCTGTTTTGATTAAATTCAAGTGTACGGGTTAGGTGCTTCAACTTGTTCTTATTCTATCCTCGTTAAATGCATAGCAATCATCTGTATGTAAATGCTAGCTAGAGAGCAATTTTTAATGTTATTGCTGCTTAGTTAGTTGCTGCTGGCCGCTATTGCTGTTGTTCTGGTTTGAAGTTTAAACGCTTCAACGAAGTCAAGAAACTCCGTCAAGGGCGCATTTAGCAAAAGAAACGACGGGCGACGACGACTCTGACGCGCTTTTGATTATGCAAGAGTGTGCCAAGACCATTAGAATGGCTGCAACGGCTGCATGATTTTGATGCAGTCAACGACAACGACAACGACAATAACACCAACAATAACAGCAGCAGCAGCAGCAACAACAACAATTGCGAATACGAGTGGCAAAAGGCAGCCACTCCAATACAATGACATATTTGGAGTGGCAAGCCTGTATATTGCCACACACACACACGTGCATGCGATTATATCCTCTAAGCAACAGTGTTGCAGCAGCAACAACAATACACCTGCCAGCAAATACTGCAAGTGCTGCTTGTATTGGTTATTTGTCGGTACATATGTACATAAATGCAGTGGCATTTTGGCTCCTACTCTTCACGCTGGATGCGGATGCGAGGCGTTCTTGGTGCTTGGTGATTGGATCTAGTTGTGGCCGTCACTGCAGAGCTTGGCTGGTTAACTGGTTGTTTGGACAGTTGGTGAGACGGTCTGTCGATTGGCCGTATATAGCAGCAGCAGCAGCAGCAGCAATAACAACAACATTGTCAGCCACGAACTGAGCGCATGCACAAGCTTTGCATTCGACGGCGGCGGCGGCGGCAGCGGCTAGCTTGGATTAAGCCACAGCACCGATAGCTAGGCAGTCAAGCGGCTAAAATACCTGACTGACTGCCTGACTGCCTGTCTGCCTGTTTGCCAACCAGCCAGCTAGCGAGTTCGCCAGCCTGCAGCACAACACATTTTAAAATTAAAAATGCAGCACTTGGTAGCAGCGACGGCGCACATTTTGCCGTGAACTAATTTGATAATGCAGTCAGTTAGTCAGTCAGTTGTAGCTAATACATACATACATACATACTAGGTGTATTTGAGTACAGCACATAAAAAATAGAATCCAAACACAAAAAAAAAATAAAAAAATCAAAAACAGAAATAAAAACGAGCATTTATTTGCTGCTTTAAACAAAATTTTTGAAAGTTACTTTGTAAGTCGGTGTAAAATCAAAGAGATTTCGCATTTTGAAAGGTGGCGCGCGCGCATGCGCCTGTCTACCAAATATATGTACTCAAGTGCCAAATGTTAGGCGGAGGCACCAATTTGCACGGATATATGGCTTTAGAGCCATATAAGCTTTTAATTGGCTTAATAAGTGGGCAGCTGCGGGCGTAATGCAGTTAACAGTTCTGATTATTTTAGAAGGATTTTTTTTTGCGTTGAAATAATTAATTAATTAATAAAAAGACCGTCAATGGCGCTGCGAAAATGGGGTAGAATGAAATACATACAGTATTGATATAAAAAAATATAAAATAAAATAAAAATAATAATAATAATAAAAATA